ACACACATACAGTTTGGGGAAACTAGTAAAGCTCCTATAGATGAGTGCTCATTCTTAGAGAAAGGACTACTGATTCCCAGAATGTAGGTCTCCACAGCAAAGCTCAGCTCCCTGCCTGATAATTCTAAACTAAAGCTGTAAGTCCTACCTACATAAATAGTCCCCCCAGCTTGTTATTTATTATTTATTCATAAATATGAACAAATAATAGTTAATTGTGAAAAACCATAATAAAATGAAAAATTACTCCTGGATGAAACACATACCCACCTCCCCCCTTTCAACTCTCCAAAACAATTTAGTCCCAAAGTCATTAGGTATAGAAGAGTACAGTGGGAGAAAGGGGGAAAAGCCCGGGTGGGGGTGTCTGGTATGAGAATCAAAGACCAAAAAATGTAAAAAAGTAAAAGGTATCCAAAACTGGGGTAGAGGTAGAGGCAGGGCCAGAATATGGTAAGGAGAGCATCCACACAAGGGGATTTTCCTAGTATAGCATATCAGCACTCTAAAGCAAGGTGAGGAGGGCATCTACACAAAGGCAACTTGACAAGGTGTATCAGAGCCCAAGCACAGTGGAGAGGGCATCCAAGCTGAGGAGTAGTTTGGTGAGGGATATCAAAGGCCAAATGGTATTGGAGATGGGGGGTGGGAGGGCATATTTCCATGCAGAGGTATAGAAAGGTAAAGCAACCTAGAATGAAGACTAATAGCCCAAGCAGAAGAGGGTGTCCATGCAAGGGTGAGGGTGCAGAGTGACAACAGGGACGAAGACTGGCTAAATCCAGGGGACTGATTAAATAAGTAAATATATTAAGGATAATGGAAGTCAAGTTTCTCTATGTCAGAGAAGGGAATTGCAAACATAAGGGAGAAAAGGCTAGGTTCAATCCTGTAATGCTAAATAAGAAGTACCACCATGTACTTATGGTTTTCAATACACAAACACACACATGAAACACATACACATAAACACACCAGCTGTCCTCTTAAAAAACCAGCAAAGTCCAATAGCAATGCGCAATCTAATGCACAGATCCTGTAAACACCACTTTCTCTTAAAAAGAACTAGGAAACCTTGGAAAGACAGGCAATTCCGCCTCTGAAGCAGGAAAAGTACAAGATAAGCCAGAAGTACAGTATTGTGCCACAAAGCAAGGAAGTTAAAGAAAGATAAGGTGATGCCAAAGGACAGAAAGAAATAATATCAAAAAGGCTCTTATTGGCCAAACCAGGACAATCTGAGCACCAGAATAAACAATGACAGTAACAGAACATATCCAGTTGAATAAAGAAACCAGAGTCCATACATATATAAATAAATGTTAATTATTTAAGTCTATGGTTGGAAATTTGTGTCTTTCAGCATGTCTCATTAATTTTTAAGTTTATTTTTTATTTTTGAGAGAGAGCGCAAGTGGGGGAGGGGCAGAGAACAAGGGAGATAGAATCCGAAGCAGGCTTCACACTGTCAGCACAGAGCCCAATGCATGCGGGGCTCAAACTCAGGAACCCTGAGATCATGACCTGAGCTGAAACCAAGAGTTGGATGCTCAATGGACTGAGCCACCCAGGTGCCCCATTATTTTTTTTTTCTTTTGGAGAAGTGAAGACAAAATCCAAGGAAGTTTTCCAGAAAAGGTAAAGCAAAAAGACATAAGGAAAATATAAAAAATAAAAGACAGATGATCAATCCAGACAATTCAACATCCAAATAACAGTTCTAGAAAAAAAGACAGAAAATAGAGAACTGACAATGAAATAATACAAGAAAATACTCCAAAGCTTAAAGGAAACAAATCTGCAAAAATAAAGAGATTTGTGAAAATCCAGCACAATAACAAAAAGTAAGTACATCTAGATGAAATTTCGTAAAAAAGATAAAAAATATCCTAGAAGGGTGTCTGAAAGGAAATAGAGTTAGTCTACAAAAGAATGAGAATCATCAGAAGACTTCTCATTAAGGACACCAGATTCTACAGGAAACATAAAAAGGCAAGGCCACTTAAGTATTAAAGGAAAATGAATTCCACGGTCAGCCAAATCAGCAGACAAGGGTGTTACATTTTCACACAGGCAAGGAAAAGGAAATTAACTCCTACATATAACCTTACATGATGTTATCCAGTAAAATTAAAAAAAAAAAAAAAAAAAAAGGAAACAAAAGAGAAGAAGACATGAAATCCAAGAAATAGTGGAGCCAATCCCAGAGAGTGAGAAAAGTGCTAAGATAGCAACCGTGCAACAAATATAAGAAACAGTCTAGACTAAGCAGGAGACAAAAAGTTCTAGGAGGAATTTCAGAGCAAGAAGGAATGAAGAACAGACTGTGTATTAATTAACTGTACATTTTTAAAACCTAATAATGCACGTGGTAATCACTAAGATAATAAGTATAAAATGCCAAACAAAAAATAGTGGACTTGCAGTTTCGGCTCCAACATATGAAAAACTTGGATGGTATCACTCCCACCCTTACAACAAGAAAAAAGCTAAGCAAACTGAAAGTCAGTGGCTTTTCTTGGGCCCACCATAGAACTGAGGACACAAGGCAAACTGCCAGCTCAGGATATGGAGAGGCAAGAACTACTGGATCACCTCAAACACAAACAACTGGAACTATAAACTGATAGGAACATTATATGAGTTTCCCAGGGCTGTCATAACAATCACAAACTAGGTGACTTAAAACAATAGAAGTTTATTCTTTCACATTTATGGCTCTGGAGGCCAGAGTACAAAATCAAGTTATCAACAGGGTTGGATCTTTCTGAAGACTCAGAGAAAGAATTGCTTCACACTTGTGTCTTGGCTTCTGGAGGCTGCCAGAAATCTCTGGCATTCCTTAGCTTGCATAATTCCAACCTCTGCCTCCATCTGCACATGACCTTGCCCTTCTGTGTGTCTCAAATCTCCCTCCTCTAACTCTTAATAAGAACACCACTCACTGGATTTATGGTCAATCCTAAATCCAAGACCATACAACCTTAAGATCCTTAGTTATGTCTGCAAAGACTTCATTGCCAAATAATGCCACATTATTGTACCAGGGCTTAGAACCTGGACATATCATTTTGGAGGCAAAAAGTTAATCCACTACAAACACTTAAATGGTATTTTTTTCCCCTGCTTTATTTTTTATTTATTTTTAAAATTTAAATCCAAGTTAGTTAACATATAGTATAATAATATCAGGAATAAATTTTAGTGATTCATTACATACATATAACACCCCGTGCTCACCCTAACAAGTGTCCTCCTTAACGCTCCCCCCAACACCCCACCAGCAACCATCAGTTTGTTCTGTAGAGTCTCTGTATTCTCTGTATTCTCCCTCTGTTGTTACAATATTTTGCTTTCCTTCTCTTTTGTTCATGTTTTGTATGTTAAATTCCACATGAGTAAAGTCATCTACTTGTCTTTCTATGATTTATTTCACTTAGCATAATACATCCCAGTTCCATCCACATTGTTGTAAATGGCAAAATTTCTTTTTTTGATTGCCAAGTAATATTCCATTGTATGTATGTGTGTGTGTGTGTGTGTGTGTGTGTGTGTGTGTGTGCGCATCTTCTTTATCCATTCATCAGTCAACGGACTTAAATGGTATTTTTGAGAAAATTTCTGGGAACCACAGTCTTAGGGGAGTCACCCATTTTTGTGGGGTTTACTTCCAGGAACATCACCAGATTCTCAGAGTGAAGAGTCCATAAAGATCTCCTTGTGCTTCCAACAGGTCAAAGAAAGTCAAAGAAGTCAGTGTGAAACAGAAAACAGAGCATTCACCCTAACAAAGACTTAATCTCCACAGAAAAGACTTTATCCACCTGTGGAAAGGTCATTTCTCTGATTCTGGTCCTCTCTTAACCTTTCTGTCTCACAGGAGGGATGGAGGACAGTGTGGGGGGGAGGGACCTAAGAAAGACCTATCAAGATCACAGTCCCAGGCCACAAACCCACAAAAAGTATGAGATTTAATTATAAGATTATAGGATGCTTTCTCTCCTCTACACCTTACCACCACACCAGGGGGGCTCCAATACAGTAAGTTAATTACTGCTGAAAGAGTTACTGCCTGGTGCAGATTCCATCTGAGGAGTTGTTAGGAAAGCACAAAGACAGCCAGGGAGACAAAAATGGACACTAAAGAAATAAGCCTCTGGTACCTATACCTACAGCAAATATTAAACACAATACAACTCTAGGACAGATTAATTTAAAATCTCACACTAATGATCTGTTTATCTCAGTTCCTATTTCCTAACATATAATGTCAAACTTTTCAACAAAAAATTATACATCATGCTTTTAAAAGGTAAGAAAAAACAAAGACAAAGCAAGCATCAGAGCCAGACTCAAATATAACACTTATTTTGTAATCAAATAGGGAATTTAAAATAACTATGATTAATAATGTTAAGGATGATAATGGGGGAAAAGGGGGGGGGGGACAAGAAGCAAGAACAGATGGGAAAAGTAAGCAGATGGAAATTCTAAAATCAAAAGGAAATGAAAAAACTAAAAATCACTAACAGAAATAAAGGATGCCAGGTAGCATGTCACTGCTCCAGGAAATGAGGGGTCAGTGCTAAAAGGGAAAAGTGGGCACCATGGCAACTGTGGTGTCTTGGAGGGGATCCACAATGGCAACCCATAAGCAGGAAGTTCCAAGCAAAGGTAGGATACACTGGCAGCAGCCACTGAGATGCTGGCCAGTGGGCTGGCAACCTAAACTGAAGGGACAAGTGGCATGCTCAGCATCCACACCCCTGAGCCCTTGCCTCAGTTTCCTGAACTTCAGGCTCCCTTCCACTGGACCTCCATGCCCAGGATCAGCAACTTTTTCAAACCTCTCCTCCCCTATCTTTGCCTCCTTCAGCCCCTGGAGCTCCGTGAGAAGCAGGGACCGGAAACTTCCAGCACTGAGATATGGCCCTGAGGGGTTGACAGGCAGCAAAAAGGTCCCCAATGCCCAGGAGAGAATTACATTGGGGGAAGGGGACCGGGCAAAGGGACACAAGCTCTCTGTACCTCTCCCCACCTCTTCCCTCTGCCACTGCCCGTTCTGTGCAAGTAGCCCTCCTAAGCACCAGGGCCGTGGAAATGTCCTGGTAATCACCACTAATGGAAGCTGCTGGCACTGCCATCTAGGCCTCAGAGAAAGCAGTCAGCTTTATCCTGAAATGGTATGCACAGCACAGAGGCAGAAGTGCTCCCAGGGCTCCTGACAGCTCCACAGCAAGGGCAACAGGCAGAGGGGCACTCCTTGCCCCAACTCAAAGACGCCACCTCCAATGAACGAGAGCTTTCTGTCAGAGCTGCATCGGTGTTGTATCTGTTTGATTTCATGGGTTCTGTTTCAGCCTTGAAGATCAACAAAATTAAAAGAGCAAGACTGAATGAACTGATGGAGTATGTTTCAACTAACTGTGAAGTAATTTGTTGAATCAGTGTATTGTGATAAAAGTAAAAATGATCACTGCTAACATCTTCTATACTCTTCCTCCAAGTAATAATCTGGATTTTGATCCAGAAAAGGATGAACTCGAGGCCTCTTGGCTTCACATACAATCGGTGTCTGCCTTAAGATTTTTGGAGTTCTGATTTTCTAGCCTAGCATTACAAAGTGATGTATTGGCCAGAAATTTGTAAAACAGTTCCTGGGCTTTTCAACAGTGAAGATACCTAACAGAATAGGACTTCCTGAAGACTGTTCTACACTGAATTTATCAGAAATTTCTTGGATTATGAGCATTCATAAGAAAACAAATTAACAACATTTTCCTCAGGTTTATGTATGATACACATTTCAAAGGTGTTGCTGAACTCCTTAAAATATTAGTAGTATTATCAATGGCTTTAGGCGATTACCACTGAAAACAGAACATATTTCTAATGATGGCTCTTATTCTTAACCACACTGCAAAAGGATTAGCTTTGTCTCATGCTCAGCTAGCCTACTGTATTGTATACTTTCTGAAGAAAAGATACAACACTAACATAACCAATGATTATAGGATTGCTGAAATTCTGGCCAAAAACATGCAGTCAGAAAGAGATGATGTTTTCAGAAGAAACTGAAGAAATCTTAGATGTCACTGAACCAACACAGTTCAAAAGAAGTGAAGAGCCCTTTGCAAGCAGATATCCAAGTATGTACCCAGTTCTCAGTTTTAGGTTGGAGAAAGGGTACCATCCTGCTGTAATAACGAATACATTCTTTGAGGAAATATTAACAAAATGCTGACAATTGCATTTCGCAGTTTGTAAAAAATCTCCATTGAACACTGGAATTCGACTACTGTAGCATTCGTATACAACATGCTGAAATCCCTAATGGACATAAAAATGCTTTTCTTTTTTTCTTTTTTTTTTTAAGAATAGGTTTTTTTTTTAATTTTTTTTTTTTTAATGTTTATTTATTTTTGAGACAGAGAGAGACAGAGCATGAATGGGGGAGGGTCAGAGAGAGGGAGACACAGAATCTGAAACAGGCTCCAGGCTCTGAGCTGTCAGCACAGAGCCCGATGCGGGGCTCGAACTCACGGACCGCGAGATCATGACCTGAGCCAAAGTCGGCCGCTTAACCGACTGAGCCACCCAGGCGCCCCTAAAAATGCTTTTTGACAACCTTACTAGCTCCGAAGATGAAAGACAAAAAGAGAAAAAAAAAGAAACTGGAACACAAAGAATTGTGGGCAAAAATTACAGGAGCTAAAGCTAAAGAAAAGCTTGAGAAAAGCAGAACAGTGTTTACAACATGCAAAGTATTCTCAGTAACACAAGTGACAAATTAAAAACAGAAAAGAGAAGAAAAGAAAATCAAAAAGCCTACCATCACCATTGGACAGGCACAGTTTTAGACACCATTTTGAAATATGTAAAAATTTTGAAACAAAATAAACCTCGTCAGTATAATTAAAAAAGGCCAGGGTTTTTTTTCCCAGCAAATGTAAATGAAAAAAATTTGTGGACTAAACATAGCTCTGTGCTACGCCATGGTCACAGTACATTGTAATCATTGTCTAATCACTGATTTATTGTGTCACTTCTCAAGTTATGAGATAATCAGGAGAGTGGTAAGAATTGTGACGAATTTTATTGTGTTGCACATAGATACAGTGGTGTGCTCTGTATATTTCTCCTTTTTATAGTACGCTCTACATAATGTTATAGACCCTAGTTAGTTACAGCCTACGAAAAAGAGTATTTCCTAAAATAAAACTTAAATATAATTCTTACCCATTTCTTCATTTCTTCTAGAAATATGATGAGGATAATTACCCACCCTACACCTTCCTTCACTACAGATAATACTTTTGGTCTAAAATCTAAGCAAAAACATAAATCTCCAAGTGTTTTGAAGCACAAAACATAAATAAAAGCTGGGAAAGTAAACAAAACAAAACAAAAATGATAGAGGATGCCATTGGTGGGCTCATCACCAGACTAGACACCACCAAGGATGGAACCAGCAAACTTGAAAATATGTCATTTGAAACTTCCCAAACCAAAATGTAAAGAGAAAAAAATAATATAAAAAAATAAAACAATGGGGCGCCTGGGTGGCTCAGTCAGGTAAGCATCTGACTTCGGCTCAGGTCATGATTTTGCGGTTCCTGAGTTCGAGCCCCACCTTGGGCTCTGTGCTGACAGCTCAGAGTCCGGAGCCTGCGTTGGATTCTGTGTCTCCCTCTCTCTCTGCCCCTCTCCAACTAGTACATGCATGCTCACACGCGCTCTCTCTCTCTCTCTCTCAAGAATGAACATTAAAAAATTTTTAATAAAAAAAAAAAAAATAGAACAGAAATCCAAGAAGGGTGCAACAATTTCGAAAGATAAAATATATGCATAACTGGAGTGCTAGAAAAGAAAGATAATGGAGAATTTTCCAAAATTATTATCATACACCAAACCACACACATGGGAAGTTCAGAGAATACAAAGCAGGATAAATGTGGGAAAATCTACACCTAAGCATACCATATGCAAACGCAGAAAACCAAACACAAATTCTTGAAAGAAGCCATAAGAAAGAAAAAAAAAACTTACGTATAGAAGAACAAGGATAAGAACTATAGCAGACCTAAAAGAGAGTGGAGTAGGGGCACCTGGGTTGCTCAGTCAAGTTAAGTGTCCGACTTCGACTTATGTCATGATCTCATGGTTTGTGGGTTCAAGCCCCGTATCAGGTTCCATGCTAACAGTGTGGAACATGCTTAGGATTCTCTCTTTCAACCTCTCTCTCTGATTTCCTCCACTCTTGCTTTCTCTCTCACTCAAAAATAAATATATAAACTTAGGAAAAAAAGAGTAGAGACCACTAAAGTATGAAAAGAAAAAACCTTCCAACTTAGAATTCTTAGAAGGAAGTTTACAGAGATAAAGGTCAACCTTAAGAAACAAGAAAAATCTGAATTAAATACTTTAATTTTATATCTAAAGGAAGTAGAAAAAGTACAAACAAAGCTCAAAGTTAAAAGGAAAAAAATAACAAATCAGAGCAGAAATAAATGATATTTTTTAAAAAATAAAAAAGATCAATGAATCCAAGAGCTGCTTTTTGAAAGATAAGCAAAATTGATAAACCTTTAGCCAAACTCATCAAGAAAAAAAGAGAACTCAAGTAAATAAAACCAGAAATGAAACAAGTAACAACCAAGACCACAGATTTATAAAAGACTACTACAGAAATTTATATGCCAACAAATTGGCCGACTTAGAAGATATGCATAAATACCTAGACACATACATTCTTCCAATATTGAATCAGGAAAAAATAGAAAATCTGAACAGACTGATGACAACTAAGAAAATTAAATTGGTAATCAAAAAAGACTTCCAATAAACAAAAGTCCAAGACCAGATGCCTTCACAGTTGAATTCTACCAAACATTTAAAGAAGAGTTAATACATATTCTTCTCAAACTATTTAAAAAAATGAAGAAAAGCTTACAGCACTACCGTAATACTAGAACCAATAACACTATGAAAAAAGAAAACTATGGGTTAATTATATCTGATGAAAACAGAGGCAGATATACTCAACAAAATATTAGCAAATTTCACTCAACAATACATTAGAAGAATCATTCACCATGATCAAATGGGATTTATTCCAGAGATGCAAGGATGGTCCAGTATCCAAATATCAATCAATATGACACATCACATCAACAAAATAAAAGATAAAATCCCATATGACCATCTCAATAGATGCAGAAAAAGCATCTGACAAAATTCAACATCCATTCATGATAAAAACTCTCAACAAAATGGGTGTGGAGGGAACACACTTCAACATAAAAAAGCCATATATAATGAACCCATAGCTAACGTCATACTCAATGGTGAAAAACTGAGAGCTTTTCCTTTAAGATTAGGAACAAGACAAAGGTACCTACTCTTGCCACTTTTATTCAAAACAGTACTGGAAATCCTAGCTATAGCAATCAGGCAAGAAAAAGGAATAAAAGAAAGATACCAAATGGGTACGAAGAAGTAAAACTGTCACTATTTCCAGATGACATAACCCTATATATAGAAAACTCTAAAGATTCCACCAAAAAGATTTGAGAAAAACTGAATTCAGTAAAGTTGCAGGACACAAAATAAATATCCAGGAGTTGGCTGCATTTCTATATACTAAAAACAAAACAGCAGAAAGAGAAATTAAGAAAACAATCCCATTTACAATTACACCAAAAAGAATAGAATACCTAGGAATAAATTTAACCAAGAAGGTGACTAACCTATAATGTGATAATTATAAGACACTGAAGAAAGAAACTACAGATGACACAAATGGAAAGTTATAATGATGAATTAATCTACAAAATGATGAAATATGATGAATTAATCTACAAAAATGCAGGCAAGAAAGTACAGTGGAGCAAAGAGTCTGTTCTATAAATGCTGTTGGTAAAAATGGACTGCTACACACAAAAGAATAGAACTCGACCGCTTTCTTACAATGTATAGAAAAATAAAGTGGTTTAAACACTTAAATGAGAACTGAAACCAGAATATTCCTTAAAAAAAAAAAAAAAAAAAAAAAAAAAAAAAAAAAAAACAGGCAGCAGTCTCTTTGACACTGGCCCTGATAACATATTTATGGGCAGGTCTCCTCAGGCAAGGGAAATAAAAA